CGGGTGTCTTCGAAGCATTGCTCGTATATCGTGGGACACCCGAGTGAGCAACGCTGTTATTAGGATTCGGGTGCTAGGTAAGAATGGCAGATCAATCGACGAAGTATTGAAACTTCACCAGTTGAGGTGGTTGGGACATGTGTTGCGTATGCCCAACCACCGGCTGCCTCGTCGAGCCTTGTTTTGTAGTGTAGGAATAGGTTGGAAGAAAGTTAGAGGCGGCCAAACCAAAACATGGCAGAAATCCATGAAGTCATTGACTAGTGGACTGAGCCATGTCGGTAATTGTCGACTACCTGGTTGGGGTCCGCGAGATGATAATAATCGATGGTTAGAGACCTTGAATGACATGGCTCAAAATCGTTCGCAATGGCGCCGGTGCATTTATTCTTTGTGTTCTCTGAAATCCTAATCTTCTGGATTCTTCAACACCTCTAGTTTTGACTTTCTAAACTTTTCTAACTGAATCCTACTTCTTGAATAATATCTTCTAATCCTAACCTCTCCGATTATTTCTAATTCCCTTACTACCTCTTCTACTATTGGATTTGAATTGACGATTACTTCTCTGTGCTGATGTGGTATGGCAACATGAACTGATGTACTTATGTACAAAGTTCTACGTTGCATCTGACTGACTGACTGACTGACTATGGGATTTGGATTGACTATTGCGTCTCTGTGCTAATATGGCATAGCAACTTGAACTGACGTACGTACGTACGAAGTTATATGTTGTTGGTGACTGACTGACTGACTGACTGACTCTTTACAGACAGACAATAGACTACTGCTAATAACACTTAAATACTAGAGGTTAACTATATCGGTACATTATTTAACTGAGGAACTGTATAAGTATTAATGAGCCGGTAGTTAAGGGTAGTTCAATAAAGGTACAAAAAAAATCCAACCATTACTATTCATAAAAGTAACTATATTATTTAAATCCTTACGAACTGTCGATTACAATCCGTAGTAATTAATCTTGATCTACCATATAAGCGGTGAAGAATGCAAGTTATATATATATATATATATATATATATATATATATATATATATATATAT